TATACTTTAGGGTGGGTATATGATCTCATGTATAATACATAAGGGGGATATGATCTCCATGTATAATACATAAGGGGGGATATGATCTCCATGTATAATACATAAGGGGGGATATGATCTCCAGGTATAATACATAAGGGGGATATGATCTCCATGTATAATACATAAGGGGGGATATGATCTCCATGTATAATACATAAGGGGGGATATGATCTCCATGTATAATACATAAGGGGGGATATGATCTCCATGTATAATACATAAGGGGGGATATGATCTCCATGTATAATACATAGGGGGGATATGATCTCCATGTATAATACATAAGGGGGGATATGATCTCAATGTATAATACATAAGGGAGGATATGATCTCCATGTATAATACATAAGGGGGGATATGATCTCCATGTATAATACATAAGGGGGGATATGATCTCCATGTATAATACATAAGGGGGATATGATCTCCATGTATAATACATAAGGGGGGATATGATCTCCATGTATAATACATAAGGGGGGATATGATCTCTATGTATAAATCAGTGGTTCATATAGTGAACTCTGTATAGAGGTCAACCTGAGGTCATCACAGAGGACAAGGGGGCGCTCTTTACATCTGGAGGAAAAGAAATTTAATCTCCAAATACGGAAAGGTTTCCTCACAGTAAGAGCTGTGAGAATGTGGAATAGACTCCCTCCAGAGTTGGTTGTGGCCAGCTCAGTGGATTGCTGTAGGAAAGTCCTGGATTATAACTGGATATAACATTTATAGGTAAAGTTGATCCAGGGAATATCCGATTGCCTCTCGGGGGATCAGGAAGGAATTTTTTTCCCTGCAGGAGCAAATTGGATCGTGCTTTGCTGGGTTTTTTTGCCTTCCTCTGGATCAACTGTGGGTGTAGGATTATAACTTTTTTCTTTGTCGAACTGGATGAACTTTTGTCTTTTTTCAGCCAGACTAACTATATACTTATGTAATATTGGCAAACCAGCATTTCTGTCAGATAACGCACCACTTCACCCAGAAAATTGCTGCAATTACAAATGTTTCGGCATTCTCGTGTTTTTTTTTTCTTTGGTTTGTATCAGTGACACAAGAAAGTGGAGAAATAAAAAGCCAAATCTGACACATTCCACACAAAACCCCAAAAATGGACTGCACAAAACTATTGGCACCTTCTCAAAATTGTATGAAATAATTACATTCCAAGTCTGTGTTGCTCCTGTAATTTGTCTTTAAACTCCCCCGTATCCATTACCAGGTGCTGACAATATAGAAATCAAATAGACAACCAGTTTAAAATGGTGAGAAATTGACTCAACCTTTCCTATGTCTGTTTCTGTGTGTCAGATGGAGCATGGAGGAGAGAAAAAGCAGCAAATAAGTGTCGGAGGATTTGAGAACAAAAATTCTGGAAAAGCATGGACAATCTCAAGGTGACAAGTCCATCTCCAGAGATCTTAATGTTCCTGTATCCACTGTGCGTAACATTGTCAAGATGTTTCCAGCCCATGGCACTGTAACTAATCTCCCTGGACATGGACAAAAGAGAAAAACTTGATCAAGATTGCAATGAAGGATTGTTAGAATGGTGGCTAAAGAACCTCGATCAACTTCCAGACAAATACAAGCTGACCTTCAGGCACCGGGTACAACCGTGTCCGCTCGGACTATACGTCGCCATCTGAATGAAAAGGGACGCTATGGTAGGAGACCCAGGAGGACCCCACTGCTGACACAGAAATATGGTAGGAGACCCAGGAGGACCCCACTGCTGGCACAGAAATATGGTAGGAGACCCAGGAGGACCCCACTGCTGACACAGAAATATGGTAGGAGACCCAGGAGGACCCCACTGCTGGCACAGAAATATGGTTGGAGACCCAGGAGGACCCCACTGCTGACACAGAAATATGGTAGGAGACCCAGGAGGACCCCACTGCTGACACAGAAATATGGTAGGAGACCCAGGAGGACCCCACTGCTGACACAGAAATATGGTAGGAGACCCAGGAGGACCCCACTGCTGACACAGAAATATGGTAGGAGACCCAGGAGGACCTCACTGCTTACACAGAAATATGGTAGGAGACCCAGGAGGACCCCACTGCTGACACAGATATATGGTAGGAGACCCAGGAGGACCCCACTGCTGACACAGAAATATGGTAGGAGACCCAGGAGGACCCCACTGCTGACACAGAAATATGGGAGGAGACCCAGGAGGACCCCACTGATGACACAGAAATATGGTAGGAGACCCAGGAGAACCCCACTGCTGACACAGAAACATATTGGAAGCCAGATTGGAGTTTGTCAAAACTTACCTGAGGAAGCCAAAATCCTTTTGTGGGAATGTGCTGTGGACAGACGGAACACAACTCCAGCTTTTTGATGAAGCCCATCATTCTACAGTTTTCAGAAAAAGCAATGAGGCCTAATAGGCATTATGAAATCTGAAGACTACCAAAGAATTCTGGGGTGCAATGTAGGGTCCGGTGTCAGAAAGTTGGGTCTCCAATGTCAGAGGTCATGGGTCTTCCAGCAGGACAATGACCCAAAGCACACGTCATAAAGCCCCCCAGAAATGGTTTCAGTCAAAGCGCTGGAGAGGACTGAACTGGCCAGCAAAGAGTCCAGATCTCCATCCCATAGAGCTCCTGTGGAGAGATCTCGGTAGAGCAGTTGGGAAAAGGAACCCTTCCAATCTGAGAGACCTGGAGCAGTTGGAGGAAGAAGAGCGCTCCACAATTCCAGTAGAGAGGGGAAAGAAACTCATTGATAGTGACAAGAAACCATTGATTTCAGTTATTTTTTTCCAAGGGGTGTGCTACCAAATATTACATTGAGGGTACCAATAATTTTGTCCAGTCCATTTTCGGGATTTTGGCTTTTTGTATCTCTCCTTTTTTTTTGTCCTACCAATACAAACAAAATAAATAAACATGAGAATGCCGAAACATTTGCAATTGCAACAACTTTCTGGGTGAAGTGGTGCGTTACCAGACAGAAATGCGGGGGGGCAAGATTTTGACCATGACAGTAATTAATGTAGAAGATTAAAGGAAAAAAAAGGGGGGGGTATCCAAGAAGTGGGAAAATCATTTATTAACAAAGTTTTCTCAATCAAATAATGACAAAAAATTATATTTTTACCCGACATGAAATATTCAGAACAGGGAGAAGTCCTTGAAGAAGATCCCTGTCTGTGCCGGTAACAGACAGGTAATGTAGACCAGAGTCACTATCCAGTGTCAGGCCAGGTGGACAGGGACCGGCGGTATAACATTGTTAGATTACACTGACCCTCCAGTATATCTGTCAGCGGAAAGACTATGACTGACAGCTCAGCGTCCGCAAGGGGATATTACCAAGTTTTGGATGTGCTATTTGATTCTGTCATGTTCTGGGAACTAGAAAAGATCAGAATACAATGTGCAAAAATGTAGAAGACCCAGATGTCAAGGGCACCGGAATACCTTTCACATAGAGCAGGGCTATGGAAACAGCTATGGAAACAGAATGAAAAAGAGTATTATTATTTTTTATTATTATTATTATTATTTTTTTTTTTTTTTTGTATTATTATTAATATTATTATTTTATTATTATATTTTTATATTATTATTATTATATTATTATTTTTATAATTGTTTATATTATTACTATTCTTATTATTGTTTTATTATTATTATTATTATTATTATTATTTGTTATATTATTATTATTGTTGTTTTTATTATTATTATTATTATTGTTTTTTTATTATTATTATTTTTTTTTTGTATTATTATTATTATATTATTATTTTATTATTATATTTTTATATTATTATTATTATATTATTATTTTTTTATTTTTTATATTATTACTATTCTTATTATTGTTATTATTATTATTATTGTTTTATTATTATTATTATTATTATTATTTGTTATATTATTATTATTATTGTTATTAATATTATTTAGTTCAGCTCCTTGGCTTACCTCTATTATTTATATCTGACACGTTTATTGCGCTCCAGCAGCATAACTTCTGGAACCCTGGACAGCTGGTCTCAGCCCTTTCAAGTGTAGTATTGGTACATCTACTATGCCAGCCCCTCCAACCCAACCCAATCACAGAAACCTTTGTATAGTGTGAATGTATTCTCAAATTACAAAGGCTTCTGTGAATGGGCAGCAGAGGCGAGGAGTGGGCACAGCGGCTCTCTTTGCTTTTCTCCTCTCTCACAGACTGCAGTGTGGAGTGAATCCTCCAGCAGAGCCGTGAACCTGTTGCATATAAAAACCAGAGCTAAGCCGATGACGGGACAGGCAGCTATTAGGACTTCACTCATGGTGTGTCTGCGCTTTTTACCAAGTTGCTGAATTCGTGGAATTCAACTCTTGTAGTGTTTCTTTACCCAATGTGCTACGCAGATCAAAGGCCCCACCTTTGGTCTACATATGAATGAAAATAGTAGTTAAAATGAAATAATACACTTTTTATTTTGTATTACCTGACGACACTTACAGATTATCTGCATCCCCCAGCAGCCAGCATCAATAGACCCTCCATCACACCCCAGGTGCTGGAACTGTGCTCCTGCTTAAAAAAACAAAAAGCCCCGTGTCTGGCACAAAAAGTCGCAGGAAAGAAAAAAATAGTATATATTTTTATATTGTATGTATCAATTAATTAATTGTATTAATTAATTTATATTATATAATTGAATTGTATATATTGTATATATCTGGATCTGGAACAGAGAAAAATCTCTTCATGGGTAAACCTGTCCGGGGGCAACTGTCCAAGAGGGAACACCCCCCTCACTATGGAGAGATCTCTGCTTTCTTCCTGCTCTGCTCCCTGCCGTGGGATAGGAAGTAAAGGGGATTCTGCCCAATGGGCATGAATGCAAAAAAAAAAAAATTATAGGGGTTTTAATAACCCCCCCCAAGTAAAATAAATAAATAAATAAAATGAAGACGTTTTGGCTTTCCATACCCTTTAAAACCACTTCCAGTCCGGACACTTTCACCCCCTTCCAGTCCAGACACTTTCACCCCCTTCCAGTCCGGACACTTTCACCCCCTTCCAGTCCGGACACTTTCACACCCCTTCCAGTCCAGACACTTTCACCCCCCCCTTCCAGTCCGGACACTTTCACCCCCTTCCAGTCCGGACACTTTCCCCCCCTTCCAGTCCGGACACTTTCACCCCCCCTTCCAGTCCGGACACTTTCACCCCCTTCCTGTCCGGACACTTTCACCCCCTTCCAGTCCGGACACTTTCACCCCCTTCCAGTCTTTTCACCCCCTTCCAGTCCGGACACTTTCACCCCCTTCCAGTCCGGACACTTTCACCCCCTTCCAGTCCGGACACTTTCACCCCCTTCCAGTCCGGACACTTTCACCCCCTTCCAGTCCGGACACTTTCACCCCCTTCCAGTCCGGACACTTTCACCCCCTTCCAGTCCCCTTCCAGTCCGGGACACTTTCCCCCCCCCCTTCCAGTCCGGACACTTTCCCCCCCCTTCCAGTCCGGACACTTTAACCCCCTTCCAGTCCGGACACTTTCACCCCCTTCCAGTCCGGACACTTTCACCCCCTTCCAGTCCGGACACTTTCCCCCCCTTCCAGTCCGGACACTTTCACTTTCCCCCACTTTCCCCCCCTTCCAGTCCGGACACTTTCACCCCCTTCCAGTCCGGACACTTTCACCCCCCTTCCAGTCCGGACACTTTCCCCCCCCCCCCTTCCAGTCCGGACACTTTCACTCCTTCCAGTCCACTTTCACCCCCTTCCAGTCCGGACACTTTCCCCCCCAGTCCAGACACTTCCCTCCCTTCCAGTCCGGACACTTTCCCCCCTTCCAGTCCGGACACTTTCCCCCCTTTCCAGTCCGGACACTTTCCCCCCCCCCCCCCCCCTTCCAGTCCGGACACTTTCACTTTCCAGTCCGGACACTTTCACCCCCTTCCAGTCCGGACGCTTTCCCCCCTTCCAGTCCGGACACTTTCCCCCCCCCTTCTTCCAGTCCGGACACTTTCCCCCCCTTCCAGTCCGGACACTTTCACCCCCTTCCATTCCGGACACTTTCACCCCCTTCCAGTCCGGACACTTTCACCCCCTTCCAGTCCAGGCCAATTTTCAGCTTTCAGCGCTATCACACTTTGAATGACGATTGCGCGGTTATGCAACACTGTACCCATATTAATTTTTTAGCATTTTTTTGAGACAGATAAAACTTTATTTTGGTGGTATTTATTTATTTATTTTTTTTGCTATATAAACGAAAATGTCCAAAAATTTTGAAAAAAAGTGTTTTTTTTATAAAATGTTGCACTTAAATAATCTTTCTTCATAAATCTTGGCCAAAATTTATTCAGTTCTCTTTATAGTAAAAAAAAAAAAATTACCCAAATTAGTTTATAAACCAAAAATTATAATTTTTTTTACATTTTTATTTTTTTTTTATGTTATTTTTTATGTTTTGTTTTTTTTTTTTACCATAGACTATGGTGACACTGTACTACTTTTGGAGAGGGTGATGAAGATTTTTTTTTTTTTCTGTTACACTGATTGCTTTTACACCCATAAAGGCTGTAAAAGCAATCATTTCTCCTTCTCTCTGGCTGCATTCTTGCAGCCATTGAGATATACTGTGTGAGCTGTGATTGGTCACAGCTTGTCACATGATACAAGGCTGTTGTGAATGGCCCTGTACCATGTGACCTCTGTGATCATTCACAGATTTCACACGTAGTAAGCAATGATGTCAGAAGTGACGTCATGCTTACGCCCATTCATGTGATCACTGATTGGCCAATCAGTGATCACATGATCGGGACCTCACACAGAGATCCCATACAGCAATCTGTGTTCACAGCGGGCACCGGATCGCGGTGCCGCGCGCTCACAGGGAGAGCGCACAATCCAAAATGGCGGGCGCCGTTTATGAACGGCAACCCACCCCTACACTTCCACCGTCTGGCCGTTTATATACAGCGGGCCGGACGGGAAGTGGTTAATGCCGTTTCCCCCCCTATAGTTCTTGCCGTGTTGCAGTTGACGTATCATCAGATCTGTATGTTCTCAGCCACACAGGCTGACATGAAGAATATATACATATAGTGCAGCGCTGAAAAAGTATAAAAATGAAATGTGTAAAAAAATATATATATATATATATAAAAAAGTCTTTCTTATGACAATATAGTCAAATATGTGCAGGTCTTCTCCTCATTAGGTGACTGGAAAATAACAAGATTGCGCACTCACCGACCGCACATTTAAAATGCGCCTGTGTATGATATATTCCAAAAGACCAGCCAGGTATACAGCTCCAGAGACCACACGGATCCTCCCTCTCCAACACTCTCGTTTGCCTTGGGTGTAGCAATATCTCCAGATCCAAAGGTAGAAAGACAGAGATCCCCCTTTTTGGTTCCAGACACCCCAGGAATGGAAGATGTGTATCTGCACTCTCCAACAGGAGAGTCAAAGAAAAAGGGGAACGCCAATAGTGTGGTACTATCAAAAAAACTTTATTGGAGCAATAATGCCTGTGTATTGGGTGGCGCATGCGCAGTTTGATACTGCACAGCCGCGATCCACGGCAAGATGGCCGCTGTTCGCGCATGCGCAATACCGCTTTTCACGATAGAGCGGGATTTTCGCGCATGCGCGAACGGCGTTTAAATGGAAGTCTGGCTGTCACACTGCTAGTGGCGTCCATCCTCTGAAGAAGTGCTTTTTGCACGAAAGGCCTCAGGAGGAGCCAAGTAGCAAGTGTGACTTCCAGACCACTGGGACCAAGAGGAGGTCTGGTGGTCTTTGTTTTTTATGCCATTGCCGGGTTAGTACTACTATTTCCTTTCATACCTACCTGTCCGTTATTGGCTTATGGTGTATGGATATATGTGTGCATATGACCCAGGCATTATTGCTCCAATAAAGTTTTTTGATAGTACCACACTATTGGCGTTCCCCTTTTTTTGACTCTCCTGTTGGAGAGTGCAGATACACATCTTCCATTCCTGGGGTGTCTGGAACCAAAAAAAGGGGGGGATCTCTGTCTTTCTACCTTTGGATCTGGAGATATTGCTACACCCAAGGCAAACGAGAGTGTTGGAGAGGGAGGATCCGTGTGGTCTCTGGAGCTGTATACCTGGCTGGTCTTTTGGAATATATCATACACAGGCGCATTTTAAATGTGCGGTCGGTGAGTGCGCAATCTTGTTATTTTCCAGTCACCTAATGAGGAGAAGACCTGCACATATTTGACTATATTGTCATAAGAAAGACTTTTTTTATATATATATATATATATTTTACACATTTCATTTTTATACTTTTTCAGCGCTGCACTATATGTATATATTGTCTCTATTATGAGGTTTAGTGATTCCTTGAAGTGTTCCAGCAGCTGGTTTTTCTGAGCGCTCGCTTTATTCATTATCCATTCTCAGTTGACATGAAGAATGTTCTCCAGATTTCAACAGATGGTATTGTTTATTGTAGAAAAAATAGAAATTGTTGCATTTTCTGCATTTTTCCATCAGTGTGCCGGGTGGCCTTCGGAGCAAAGAGAAAAAAAAGAGCATTTGTACTGAAACATTCCACTACTGAAGTGCGGTACTTGCAAAGATTGCTCTTTTTTTTTCTTTTAAAGGCTGAAATGTATGTAGATTTGTAAGTATTTTATGTTGCTGAACTCCACGAAGAAACAAATTTAAAGCTGAACTCCAGGCAATTGCAAAGGCTTCTCTCTTGGACCGAAATGGCTTTTTTTTTTTTCCACTGCATACTGTGAGCTTTTCACAACATGCATTAGAAGCTGCAGCAAGTCAGAGGAAACCCACCTCCATTTCTTGGCTGGAGGACGTTCAGTATCACCTGTGTATGAGGTGTGACAATTTAATTCCCAGAATGGACTGTATAAAAAGTTTACATACCTATACACTAGTGGTTGTTGTCACCTTCAGAGTAGTCCCCTTGCGAAGTGAAGCTCTTTTTTCCGCTGCATACTGTGAGCTTCTCACAACGTGCATTAGAAGCTTCAGCGAGTCAGGGAAACCCACCTCCATTTCTTGGCTGGAGGACGTTCAGTATCACCTGTGTGCGAGGTGTGACAATTTAATTCCCGGAATGGACTGTATAAAAAGTTTACATACCTATACACTAGCAGTTGTTGTCACCTTCAGAGTAGTCCCCTTGTGAAGTGAAGCTCTTTTTTCCGCTGCATACTGTGAGCTTCTCAAAACGTGCATCGCAGCGAGTCAGAGGAAGCCCACCTCATTTCTTGGCTGGAGGACTGTAATGGAACCAGACCCCAACTGCACTAGGGTATTTCCGTTAGACTCCCGCTTCCCTGTCCGAACACCTTCTACGGACCCCACCGCACAATGGGACAACCCCCACCTATACATGTCTACACAATACTAGGACAGTTCACCCTGTACCCCTAACAGGCACAGGGTGACTTACACATAATGGGAACATGGGGAGCTGAGACAGGGGTCCCCCCACCCCCAAAAGTCACTCCCGTCACAAGGACGTTCAGTATCATCTATGTACAAGCTCTGACAACTTAATTCCAGGAATGGACCGTCAAAAAAACAAAGTTTGCTTACCTATACGCTAGCGGTTGTTGTCACCTTCAGAGTAGTCCCCTTGCGAAGTGAAGCTCTTTTTCTAGACGACTGAGCCACCGCCGGAAAAAAATCCTGGAGTTCGTTTTCCAGAATGCTGCGCATTCTTTGTTGTTGCGAGCTGGATGTCCCGAATGTCATTAAATGTGTGATCTTTTAAGCCATATATTTTAAATTTTAGAAAGAGCCAAAAGTTTCAGAGTGCTAAGACGGGGGAATAAGGCGGTTGGTCAAGTTTCAATGCTGGTTGTTTTAATGCTTGATGTACGTGGAACCCGGAAAATCTTTGAATACCGTTCTATGGAATGGTGGGTAGTAGCACCATACCCTTTATTATAATGATCAGATTGAGCCACACCAGAGAGCCGGAAAGAGGGACTACAGATCACTGGTATCGCCGACAAGCCAGAGAGTCGACCCTGCAGGCAAGCGGTTCATGGTATCGTCATCAACATCGCATCTTCCAAGAGAAGAACAAGGGGACCCCCCCCCCCACTGGGTGAGAGACTACCTTTCGCTCTACTAAGACTACTGACCATGTGAGAAGGTTCCGTAACCCAGAGTGTCACAAGTTACAAGAGATTCTGTTGTTTTTCAGTTGTTTTGGTTCAGTACACCTTGCATCACAGTTTGCCACTTTGAGACATAGACTCCCTAGTCCATTCAGACGCCACTGACAATGTCTTCCTGATGACGAAACGCGTTGGGTAGAGCTTCGGCGTGTGACGTCACCACGTTCTGGAGGGACGACGGCCATATTTTCGGTTTGAAACATTTCACATTCAATGCTGGTTGTTTTATTGCTTGATGTACGTGGAACC